TTAAGATTTTTTTAATTTATTTATTTTGAGAAAGAGAATGAGAAACAGAGAGCATGAGAGGGAGGAGGGTCAGAGGGAGAAGCAGACTCCCTGCTGAGCAGGGAGCCCGATGCGGGACTCGATCCCGGGACTCCAGGATCATGATCTGAGCCGAAGGCAGTCACTTAACCAACTGAGCCACCCAGGCGCCCAAGTGTCTGATTCTTGATTTCAGCTCAGGTCGTGATCTCAGGGTCATGAGATTGAGCCCTGTAATGGGCTCCAGGCTGGGCGTGGAGCTTCCTTTAAGATTCTCTCTCTTCCGGGGCACCTGGGTGGCTCAGGTCATGATCCCAGGGTCCTGGGATCGAGCCCCGCATCGGGCTCCTAGCTCCACGGGAAGCCTGCTTCTCCCTCTCCCACTCCCCCTGCTTGTGTTCCCTCTCTCGCTGTGTCTCTCTCTGTCAAATAAATAAATTTAAAAAAAAAAAGATTCTCTCTCTTCCTCTCCCTTTGCCCCTCCCCCCAGCCATAGAAAAGAATGAAATCTTGCCATTTGCAACGATGAGTATGGAGCTAGAGAATATCATGCTAAGCAAAATAAGTCAAAGAAAGACAAATACCATGTGATTTCACTCACATGTGGAATTTAAGAAACAAAACAAATGAGTGAAGGGAAAAAGAGAGAGAAAAGCAAACCAAGAAACAGACTCTTAACTATAGAGAACAAACTGAGGGTTACCAGAGGGGAAGGTTAAACAGGTGATGGGGATTAAGGAGTGTGCTTGTTTTGTTGTGCACAGGGTGATGTATGGAAGCATTGAATCGCTATATTGTACGCCTGAAACTAATATAACACTGTGTGTTAACTGGAATTTAAATAAAAACTTTTTTAAAAGGTGAAGAGAATGCTACAGAAGATAGGAAGAGAAGAAACAGGGGCATTTGAAACCCCTAGACTCAACATAGAGTGCCCAAGGAAGATACCCCTCCCTGAAGGCTGAAATCCAGATCTTTTTGAGAAGTCAGGGTCATGACTAAGTGGATGAAAGAGAAGTCATTGTGGTGTCAAGCCAGTAGAAGTTGCCAGAAACCCACTGGTAACTTGCAAGAGAAAATCTATCCTCTAGGATTCCTGGGAAGCCGTTCACAGGGGGGTGTCTCACAAGAGGCACCCTGCTATAAAACCACTCCCGATGGGTGCCAGGGGCAACTTCTGGACAATAGATGCTGACAGCTTCTGTGCACTGTGGGACCTGTGTACTGGTGAAGCCCACCATCTAAATGGTCCTGCAGAGAAAGCCCATCAGAGCATGATGGGAAACCCTTTCCTCCTGCAGTGTCTCCTCAAACCCCTTACAAAGCTTAACACTGCAGCCAGCAGAGGACAGTTTCAAGGGTCCTGACCCATTTTCCCACCTGCAGGTGAAAAGGGTAAATTTGGACCTGAACATCAAGGAAGCAATAACTGGCACAGGAAGTGAGAAAGGAGGAGAGGAGGCAGTGCACAAAGTGATGAAGACCTGGGAGATGACCATATAGCTCACCTCCCACATGCCTGCAAGGTTCTGAGGAACAAAGGAGCTGAGTGTTGGTCCTTCTCATTCCTCCAGCCATAGGATTTTGGATCAGTTACTATCTCTCTGCAGATAAAAACAGGGGTTTTTTTTAATTTATTTATTAGAGAGAGAGAGAGAGAGAGCGCACACACGAGCACGCAAGCAGGGGGAGGGACAAAGGTAGGAGCTGAGGTAGGAGCTTGATGCCAGAACTCAATCCCAGGACTCTGGGATCATGACCTGAGCCAAAGGCAGATGCTCAACTGACTGAGCCACCCAGGTGTCCCTAAATACAGTTTAATACTTGCTCTGGGTCCCACCTGTATTCCCTTCAGAAAACTATGGTGGGGCATCTGGGTGGCGCAGTCGGTTAAACATCCAACTCTTGGTTTCACTCAAGTTGTGATCTCGGGACCATGAGATCGAGCCCTGCCTTGGGCTCTATGCTCAGTGCAGAGTTAGCTTGAGAGTCTCTCTCTTCCTCTCCCTCTGCCCCTCCTGCTCATGTGTGCGTGCTCTCTTTCTCTCTCTAAAATAAATAAACCTTAAGGAAGAAAGGAAGAATGAAAGGGAGGGGGAAGGAAGAAAGGGAGGAAAAAAGAAAGGGAGGGAAGGAGGGAGGACCGAAGGAAGAAAGGAAACTATGGTATCTCAGGTAGGAAGGAGTATCCCCATCCTCCACGGTCTTCACCTCACTGGCTGTATTTACAAGGTGGCTGATGAGGGCCAACAAGGGTTTACCTGAAAGGGACGGCTTGAGCAGACTAACAGTATAGTCATTTACCCAACTTACCCCTCCCCAGCAGGCAACCAAAAAGAAGAGGAAGGGCAATGTAAGAAACATTCATTAAGCGTTCCTTACCCAGTGAGCACTTGTGTACACACTATACATGTATGTATACATTTTATACATGTACATTTTACAGAAGAGGCATCTGAAAATTAGTAACTTGTCCACATGGTAGGGCTGTGATTTCAACTCCTCGCTTCTAATTCTGGTTCCAGAGTTCAGTTCACTAATCCACGTGGAATACTGGCTCTCCACAGGTATCACCAAGATAACTTGTTGATAAGACAAAGCTGGGTTTACCCTTACTGCAGTAAAAGAGAGCAACCTTGACAGAACTTTGGGTAGGGAGGTGAAGCCAGGATGTTAGGAGATATTCTAGTCTGGCTTAAGGAAGGCCTTTCGTGAGGAAGTCTTGGTTAGGATTAGGTAAGGATGGCGATGTCATAATTTAGGATTGGTGACCACAACGAGGTGAGGATTTTTAAGGCAAGGAATTCAGAGTCCGGCAGGGAGTGATGTGTCTTTCAGGAAGTTCTTGGAGTGAGCAATAAAGTTATTTGCAACTGTTATCTTCTTGGGCAAGAATCTGCTGAGACAGCAAGTTAAGGTGAAGACAGCAAAGTATGAAGTAATAAAGTCACATTACTGAGTGTAGACAGTAAGCTCTTTGGGTGTATATGGTTTAGGTTGTCATCCATAAAGGTTTTTCTTTTCTCCTTCTTGATGGTTACATTCAAGCATGATGTATGACAAATTATTCTGTTAATGGAATGATCATTAACCAATTTCAATATTAAGGCCGCTCAGCATAATAACTAACTCTTGTGTAGTCCTTTCTATGTGCTCTTTGTATCCTAGCTCATTAAACCATTGTACCTCTGTGGATAGGTGCTATTTTCATCTACATTTTATGGATGGCGAAGTGATGCACAGAGAGGTTAAGTAACTTACTCCTGTTCACAGTGCATTAGGCAATTGAGCTGGGATTTGAACCCAGGCAGTCTAACTCCTTTTTAGGACCTAATTACTAGTATACTAGTATACTAATTAGTCCATGTTAGGGTTTTACAGTTACCGTTCCTTCAAATCATCTGCAATTCATATCATTCAGATCAGAGGTGATTCAGATTAATCTATTGCCCAAGGTTATCCAGTTAATAAGTTATGGCCTTCAAACTAAATTTGCAGACTTCCTCACCTGAGTAATTCTTTTCCCCACCCCCCACTCGGTCTTCTATAACTACCTCTTGATTTCCAAGGAATAATTAACAAATCCATGGGGTGCCTGGGTGGCTCAATTGATTGAGTGTCAAGTCATGATCTCAGGGTCCTAGGATCTAGCCCTGTGTTGGGCTCCCTGCTCAGCGGGGAGTCCGCTTTTCCCTCTCCCTCTGCCTCTGCCCACAACTTGTGTTCGCTCTCTCTCTCTCTCTCTCAAATAAATAAATAAAATCTTTTTTTTTAAAGATTTTATTTATTTATTTGAGAGAGAGAGAGAGCACATGAGAGGGGGGAGGGTCGGGAGGGTCAGAGGGAGAAGCAGACTCCCTGCTGAGCAGGGAGCCCGATGTGGGACTCGATCCAGGGACTCCAGGATCATGACCTGAGCCGAAGGCAGTCGTTTAAGCAACTGAGCCACCCAGGCGCCCAATAAATAAAATCTTTTAAAAAAATCCATTAGTATTGTCCAACAAAGACAAAATACACCAAAAAATCTAGTTCTGTATTAAGTTAGGGGTCTCTGCAGGTTAGAGCAGGGACTGAATTCTAACTGCTTCTGTACAATAGAATAAGAAAAAAAAGAAGTTTCATGTTCTAGCTTTGGAGTAGCTTCACTAAATGACTTTCATTAAAAAAAGTGACTGAAAGTAATAATCTTTGACTTAGAACAAATATTTAACTTTTATAATAGAAATGTAAACAGAGCAATGATTTGCGATTTCTCAACATGTTCCTTCTTGCTGAAGGACATTTAACTAGTTTTGACCTATAGTCAGGATAAGCTTAGTGCACCCTCAAAATTTCCAACAGTAAGGACCCACAGACAAGAAAGATAAGCCTTGACTTAAACCTTATTTGGCAAAGAGAAAACAAAGCGTGGCACCATTAAATTTCGAATGCTAAAGATTTTTTTTTTTTTTTGCTCTTAACTCAGGAAATCTTTAGAGAAGTCATTAGGGTTGACCTTCTTTTATTCTTTAACAGAATAAAACTGTTCTCTCTTTTAGTTGATGTGCCTTTTGTTCTGGACTCCAAAGTTGATGGACAAGTTGATATACAGTCACTATGAGTGTGGGGTGAGGGGGGGTGGGGAACAAGAGGTGTGTAACTTACAATTGCCAATAAAGATATAACCTTTCTTTGTTGTGCATTTCACAAGCAGATTACATAACCTTTTGGGGATATGTCATCAGCACCAGCAACATATTTTTTTAAGTTTTTATTTTTTTTTAAGATTGAGTTATTTATCTGAGAGAGAGAGAATGAGAAAGAAAGCACAAGCCAGGAGGAGAGGCAGAGGGAGAAGCAGGCTCCCTGCTGAGCGGAGAGCCCAACGCAGGGCTTGATCCCAGGACCCTGGGATCATGACCTGAGCTGAAAGGCAGACGCTTAACTGACTGAGCCACCCAGGCGCCCCTAGTTTTTATTTTAACTCCAGTTAGTTAACATACAAAAATATGGAGCAGTTTATGAATTTGCCTGTCATCCTTACACAGGGGCCATTCTAATCTCTGTAGCGTTCCCATTTTAGTCTATGTGCTGCTGAAGAAAGTACAACATATTTAAATAATATATGCTAACTGCCCAAGGATACATGGCTTTTTACTAAGTGTAGTTTGACTTGGGCTTTGTTGCTCCCCTTCTTTCCATATGATGGATAGAGAGGGAGGAAATGGGAGAGCGAGGCAGTGGTGACAGGAATGTTCTAGTAGGCCCGCGTGGAGAACGGCACGCATGTGCTCCCTGTTCATTGTCCCAACCCAGTACACACACCCACATTACATAAAAAGCCCCATGCAGATGAAAGGAGCTCTTTATGTTGCCTTAAAAAATGACATAGGAATTGTGTGTTTCTCAGTTGCCTTTCCCCAGATTTACGTGCCCAAAGCCATGCAAAATTTCCAGGCCTTAGCCCACTCCAAACCCTCTTCATCCCCTGCTCTCCTGACATCATTTCCTTGTGAATCTACTACTGTGGAGGCTGTCACCTGGTTTCTAATGTTTTTCACCTTTAAGCCAAATCAAAAAGAACATTACACTGGAGAAACACCCCACATCAGTCAGCAAGTGAATATTTGCTAAGAGACTGTGATGAGCCCACACCTTTACCTGAGACCACATAGATCAAATACAGGAAGTGCCCTCCCAAACAGGAGACTCTAATCCTGTTCTTTGCCAAAGAGGGAATCTCCTCTTTGGGACAGCCACCCCATCCTGGAAGCTTTGCCCATCCCTCTGAAAGGCAGCTGATCAGCATTTTGTCTCCACTTTAAAGAGTATAACTTTTGGAACTGGGAGTCCAAAGATAAGTACTTAAGTTCTGGCTTATTTCCCTCCTAACCCATACCACTTCTCTAAGCAGATCCACTCTTGTTCATGATTAATCTCTCCCATCTTGATTCACATTAGCTCCATTTCAGATGGTGATTTTTTTTCTGACCTCCTTTTCAAATTCCAAGTTGAATATTACTAATGCCACGAAATTAGAAGGGATGATTAACTTTAGGGGGGAAATTATATAATTGTTCACAAAAAATGTGCACTTGAGACCTTAGAAAAGAATGGATATTCCTCAGTGGTATGGTTTTGTTTCGTTGTACAGGTAGTTTCTCTTATTATCTTCAAATTAACTTTTACTCCTTAATTTTGCATGGGATTTCTATTTGAAGTCAAATTGTATTCTCTGTCTCTTTTCTTACCTAAACCTCCAGAGTAGATTTTGTATATGCATGTCTGTGTGTATATCACACATATACACCTCAAAAAAGTGTTCCTCACTCACACCATTTATCAGTGAAGAGTGATGAGAAGTATTTCAGCAGGGGTGCTCGTGAGGGGTAGAACTTTCTCAGGAAGCGTGCTGGGGATGGAGTACTGCGGTGACCTATTTTCACTCTAGGGATGTGGTTGTGTTGGTGGATGAAGAACTCCACACAAGAGCAGAAGCCCTGATGCAGACATAGGGCTGGTAAATACACCTGAAAAATTTTAAATGGGGGAGGGGAAGTAAAGGGTTTGAACAATTGGGAGTCCTCTTTGCTTCCAGGTTCAACAACGTAGGTACAAAACTAGCTTAACAAGTTTTCCTTCAGGCTATACTAGACATACGGTCAGACTGAGATTATAAAGCCACATTCATCCTCTCCAGATAAATTACTAGCATTCCAGCCCCTGTGGCTCATGTTGGGACCATCCTTGCGTAGTCCCGGAAGTGGCCGGTGTCCTGACATTCTATGGTAGGCAGAATAATGGTTGTCCCCAAATGTCCGTGTCCTGACCTCTGGAGTCTTCACCTATGTATCCTTACATGGCAAAAGGGAATTGAGCTTGGGGGTTGAATTAAGATTGCTCATCAGTTGACACCATGATAGGGAAATTTTCCTGGATTATTCGGTGGGCCCAGTGTAATCACAAGGGTCATTAAAAATGGAAAAAAAGAGTGTCAGAATGATGTCATATGAGAAAGATGGGACTGGCATTGCTCACTTTGAAAATGGCCTGAGTCCAGGAATGCAAGCAGCCCCGGGAAGCTGGAAAGAGCAAGAACACAGGTTCTCCCCTAGAGCGCGCAAGTACCTTATTACTGTAAGGTAATAAATGCGAGTTGCTTTAAGCCACCAAGTTTGTGGTAATTTGTTACAGCAGCAGTCCTTAGGGAAGTAAAACAGGCCCCACCTGGCTCCTTGGCAACATTTGTCCTTTAATTTTTTTACCTTATTAATTTTTTACCTTATTAATTTTTTTACTTAAAAAAGAGGTTTTCTGTCCTTCTTCACCAATCCTGCCCATCTAAGGTTATAATGTAATATGTATTCTTCCCCAGGTTTTTTTTTTTTTTTCAATGAAAAATTTCACTTTGCAACTTGCCTCTTTCCCTTAAAATTCATGGATGTTTTTCCAGGTCAGTTCAGATGTAACTCAATATAAAAGTTAAATGTTTATTCTTTTTATCAAAGCAATTAAAGAAAATATACAGAAAAGGACTAAGTTGAGACAAGAAACATAAAAAAAAATATTAACCCATGACTCTACAATCTGTGTAAAGTCTGCTGATAATTTTAAAATATCATTAATGTAAATATCTAGGTAGAAAATCCATACTGTACAGGTTAGTACAAGATACTAAGTAAAAGCTTTCCTCTTTTCCTTCTTCATATTCCTCTCTCCAAAGGTAACTACTCTTCAGGGTTTCTTGTGTTTTCTTTTAGAATTTATGTATGTGTGTGTGTGTTTGTATATGTGTGCGTGTGTGTTTCTGTATGTCTCTCCCACACATATCGGAGACCATTCATGATTGTGTATCTTGCTTTTTTCCTCTTAGTTTACGTTATAGATCTTTCCCAGTGTGACATACGCAATTTCATTTTTAGTGGTCGTATAATATTCCATCTGAAGGCTACTCCCAACTTATTGGACCAGTTTCTAATTAACAAATGCGTTCATGATTTCTTTTTTCCCTCTATAATAATGTAATGAACATCCTTTTGAATACACTTTGAAGAACTTTTGCAAGCATACATCTAGGGTATGTTTCTAGCAGTGGTATTTCTGGATGAAAAGTGCATTTAAAAGATTGTTGTCTATTGCCAAACTGCCTTCCAGAAATCACTGCATCTACTGACACTCTCTCCATCACAATATGGCAATGCCCATTTCCCCAACTCTCACCATCATTAGATACCAGGATATATTTTTAATTTATTACTAACCTTATAAGTGATACACAGCATTTCATTATTTTGATCTTCATTTCTTTAATTATGAACAGGATTGAGGTACTAATACTTCTTATATTGAGTTGCTCTGTTTGATGATTCACATGTTCATTGGGAGGAATGACAAATCTGTTTATAACAAAATAAGTACTGTTTGTATATAATCTAAAAATTAACTTGCAACTGACAAGTTCTGTGACTTTGAGCAAATCTCCCTGGGCCTCAATGTCCTCATTCTCATAATTAGGCTGTACTAGATGATCTCTAAGAATACATCTAGCTCCAAGTCTACAGGTTGAGTTGATACAAGAAAAAAGGATCAGGGGCACCTGGCTGGCTCAGTAGTAGAGCATGCAGCTCTTCATCTCAGGGTTGTGAGTTTGAGCCTCATGTTGGGTGTAGAGATTACTTAAAAAATAATAATAAAATTTTTAAAAAAGAAAAAAGGACCAAAGGTATCACAATTACAAACAGTAAATGTCTAAGTCCATTTGGGCTGCTATAACGAAATACCATAGACATAGTTTATTCAAAAAAAATTTATTTCTCACACTTCTGAAGGCTGGGAAGTTCAAGATCAAGGCACCAAGATTCATTGTCTGGTAAGAGACTGCTTCCTGGTTCATATGTCTTCTCACTAACACCTCACATGGCAGGAGGGACAAGGGAGCTCTCTGGGCACTTTTATAAGGGCCCTAGTCCCATTTATGAGGGCTCTGTCCTCATGACCTAATCACCTCCCAAAGGTCCCACCCCCAAACACCATCACATTGGGGATTAGATTTCAATATATGAATTTGGGGGGGACAGAAACATTCAGTTATAGCAATAAATAAGCCACAATGTATAGATGTTTAAAAATTTGAGAATAATAATGCACAGCCCCAGGGAGAGTCTTATTTATCCCTGACTTTTTAAATGTATTTTCATATTTTTATGTTTTAACTTTACAGCTAAATGGTATAGAGCCAAACCAAAATGTTTAAATGAGGGGAGAAACCCTCGTTTAAAAATTATTTCTTCTTTAGCAACAGGGTCCTTTCCAACTCTGTGGCTTATACTATGAATTTTTTTTAATTTTTTTTATTATGTTCAATTAGCCAACATATAGTACATCATTAGTTTTTGATGTAGTATTCAATGATTCGTTAGTTTTATAAGGCTGGTACCAACATTGTTCAATTGTATCAACTGTTTGTTTTACATAACATTATTTTATGTATTTACTTCCACATATTTATATAGTTGTAACATGTCATTTCTTTTGGGAATATTAATTCATTGCCCAAACATATCATGATTTGCCTAGCAATTTCTCCACGGTGGTTTTTCAGATGCTTTCGAATTTCAACTAGAATTCTATTAGCCAAGTATAAAAATAGCTTTTTTTCACACAACTCTGTCAACAATTGATTTATTTTTACTAATTAAATACAGTTAAGATGACACCGCATAGTTGCTCTAATTCACACAATTTGAAATTCTTCTGGAAGCTTAACTTTTGAATAACATTTGATATATTTCTTCTTACATAACCGTGCATTCATATTCTTAGACCATGCTTCCATTAGAAAATAGTTACTCCCTTTATAAACCGGTATCTCTCTTGCTTACATATTTTGGGGCTAAAATTTCTGTTCCTACACATCAGTTACAAGTATCTTTCTCACTCAGTTGTTTTTCATTTTATTATTCTTCATTGTGGGAAAACATTTCACTTCTTATTAGATCTATTTCACCACAGTTATTTTTATTACTTTAATTCTAAAAAATTACCTCCCTTCTACAACTGACTTAAGATCTGTGATTCCACTTTCTTCTAGCTTTGTCTGTGGATGGC